CACTAACCTGTTTCAAATCCCTCCGTTGATGGTGATTGGCGCTGGATGTTGCTGCTGCCTAGATTATTAGCTCGCTAGGTTTCTAGCCGGTCCCAAACCCGGATAAAGATGGAGGGTTGCGGCGTGGTGCTAGCAACTTCACTCCAAAACTTAACCAAATCGCTACAGAAACTTCAACGCACAAATATATTAAAAATTCTAAAAATATAAGTAAAGACATTAGTTATGGTAAAAAATTTTTATCTGTCATTCTGTGCTTTTATTGTAAATTAGTAAGATTCACTTCAGTTGCTATTCAAATCAGAGTTTATAATAGGGAGGTTAGTACCAGAAAGGTATTTCCAATTTTTTTTAAAAAAGAAAGACCAATTGTAATGAATATATAAATCATCGAGGCACTTTAACTGAATTTAACTAAACTAAAGTTAAAACAGATAAATAATCAATCCCAAACTTTAATCTTTTTCGTCTGATGAATTAAATCCACTTGATGGTATTAATGCATAAAAGTGAAATTAACTTCTTCCTTAAATCTAATGTATGTTTCAGCTTATAATCAGGGAATGTTGAAGAAACTGGTCTGTAGCACAAAGATATTAGTGCAAACTATTAACTCTCTAAATATACTATAATAAACGTACAAGACTGCTTAACAGTTAAATTTCTTTATTTTCTCCAACATTAGATATAAATTTTACTTCAGGAAGATCTCATTTTACTAAAATTAAGATACATAATTAAAATTAATAAATTTTAAGTAACTTAGAACAACAGCAGAGTTAGAAATTTTCTGTCATATTTCCCGGAAATTCCTAGAAACTTTTACAGTCATGCTAATAAAATCTAGGCGTCTATTATTGTCTATTATTTTTACTCTTTCCTGTCTATAAATGCATTTAATAACCTTAAAAACTTCAACATTATTTGTCAAATGAATAACAACTCGTCTTGTGAACACAATAAATTAAATGTCTTAATTTTTCTTGCATTACCACCTGGTCAGGCATAGAATTTGTTCTTTTAGCATATAAAACTGAATAGATGGTGAACAAGATATTCGATGGAGGATTTCATCATGAGCCGACATCAGTTAGAGAACCATTGAAAACCATCACTGGAGTACTGGACAGCTGTTTCGTCAGCCTAGCTTGGGACTCTTCATCAGTACGCACCCACCTTGGTTCGAACCCAGATGTCACCTCATGATGAAATCCTCCATCGAATCAAACTAAACACCTACAAAACCAATACTTGAAAACAAGATACTCATTGAAAAAAAACTACTGACTATTATTCTTTTTTCAAAGCATCTTCAGCATTTGTGTTAGCTTGCTTCAGTTTGTTCCGTTTGGTCTTTCTGGCTACTTTATTTGAAATTTGTTTCATCTGACAAGACTGATAACATTTTATCGATATAGTCCTGGCGATTCATCAGGAAAATGCCAGAACTTTTGTCGGGGCGTGTCACAACCAAGTCTTTGTTCTTTAGAATCTCGCGTAGTTGCTTTCTGTGCTCGGCTGAAATCAATCTTCTGACGTTTGGTTTCGTGTTGATGTACTGATGGCAGCTATTTAATACTGTAACTTGAATTGTTCATATGATTTGTTGGACGCTGCAGAAAGGTCATTTGTCTGTTGGATCAGTGCTTCAAACTGAACTTTGATATCCAAGTCACTTGGATTTGTCGAAATATCACAGGATTTCGGACCCAACGACAAGGCTTGCAATTGGACAGAAGTCAGTGATATACTAGAGTAGTTGAAGACGTATTTTTTGGTGTGGCAGGAAAACATGAGTAAGTGTCAGCGGCTTTGAGGCTATTCGCGAGCTTCACGTTTACATCTTCACAGCGTCTTCTTGAAAGTGACTCGATGTAGTCCATGAAACTTCTCTGCTCGTCTTCTGTCAGCTCAAATACAGCATGTATTCTTAGTGAAATATTTCTTCCTATCTCCGGTAGTCGAAATTTTATTTCGTCGATGACGTTCAGTGTATGACGTTTCAAAGAGCCATGGTTTGGGTGGATATGATTGCGACGAAGACATTTCCAGAGTGCTTAGGATATTCTTTCTTATCAATTATTATTATTAGCTCTGAATTATTCGAGTAAATACGACCCTCCGGTTCCGTGATTCCCCGCTTATATAGTCTGCCGAAAAATACGAAATTCTCGCCAGTACTTAATCAGGCCTCAATTACGACGTCCCAAACACTTTCCGCATTGTTTACAACCTTCCTGATGTGCTCAACTCAGCTCAAAATGAATTCAGCACAATGACAATGATGAGACATCTAATAATAATTTCATTAGAAATAGTTGAATTTATAATTAAAATCTGCTTCATAAAAAACTCTAAGAAGAGATAAATATAAGACTGATTGATGGCTAGAACACACAACTCCGACAATCAGTCTGATCGAATTAATACACACTCCACATATTCCTGATTTCATGGTACGTTTTAATGCTTCCTTGCATCAATTCTAAACCTTATATTTAGTTTGTAAAAAAGCAAACTCATTTGGTTACCGTTTATGCACAAATGAACATTTTGTCAGCTGATGCCTAGCTAGCTACCATTTGCATTCCCTTAACTGAAATTCTACACAATTAAAACAAAAAATGCAGTTGATTTCTTCTAGTGAACAGAGATAATCATTTATATTATTTACTTTGTTAATTGAATAGAAATTCTGTCAAGGATACTTGATTATTAAGTACAAAAGTATGGCATTCTCTTCATCATCTCTTATGATGATGATGATGATGAATTACCATCCAAATATGACTTTGCACGCAAATGTCAGTCTGAGAGCTTTCTGATTACATGACGTTTATATAGGAAAGTCAAATTTAAACAAAAAAAAAAAAAGAGAAGAATATACATTATTGATTATAACTCAAGATATCAATTGTTGACACATAGGACGGACTAAATGAATATTCATTCAGTCGGTAGTCTTAATATCAGAAAATGCTTCTCCTTCCACTTTTACATATAAAAGCAAATTGAACAGTATATCTATCCTATCTTATCATTGTTTGAAGATAGTAGATTTCCTATAAAACAGATAGATAGATAGATAAGAAGTAATTACGCATAAACAGATAAAATATTACTATTGTATTGTCAAGACGGCAGTATTTTAACTTAGAAGAGAATAAATAACGTTTGTCACATTCACAATCAATAAAAATAACTTACGGAAGCAAATTACGTCTTGTGACTTTTACACTCAAAAGTGATGTGTTAAAAATGTTCACCTGCCAATTCGACAACTGTAAGTGTTATGATGCAATTCTCTTCTCAACGATATTCAGATTCAAAAGAATCCGCATGCTTTTAGTTCGGCAATAAAAAACAAGACTGTCCTATAAGCATACCGTATTGGACTTCGAATCATTTATTCTTCTAGATATATGACGATAAATTGATTTACCAGTCTAATAACTAATTACTCTGGTTGCAATTAAATGCCTATTATTTCAAGAAGTTTCAGAGGTATATCGCATTCAATGGGATCATTAATCCCTCGAACACGTAGCATCAAGTCATGTAAGATACATAGTGTTTTCAAAGCCGCAGATACATTTTGTTGAACAGTTAGAAGCAAATAATCTAGATCCATAATTTCAAATCACTAACCTATCACCAATAATATTCCTAATTGTGGTGGACTGACTGGATTATGCGTCAGACAGTGAGTGGGAAACGAGAAGACAGCGATATCCTGGACCTACCGACGTGAAGAACCTAGAAGACCTAGATTACGCGCGTGGATGATTTATGTTTGATGTCACACACAATCGAAGACTTACAAGTGAAAACCAACAAACTGGTCGAAGAGCAGCGGCGAAGACAGGACTCCAGGTGAACATAGACAAGACGCAGGTTATGAAAATAACCAATCAACCAACAACAACATCCAGCGCCAATCACCATCAACGGGAGGGATTTGAAAGAGGTTAGTGACTTCATTCACTCATTCATCTAGGGAGCATTGTCTCAACTATAGAAGTCGGAAGGGACGACGATGTCAAATCGAGCGGAATCGGAAGGCGAGTGAGAAACACATACATCAACCAACCTGAAACAACCAATCTGGAAATCCTCGTCACTCAACTCAGCCACAATCAACAACAAAATTCGTCGGATTCAATTCAATACAAACAACGTCAAGTCAGTCAGACAGTCAGTTCTTCTATACGGAGCGGATCAGAAACTTGGCGGGCGGGCGGGTCACAAAGAATATTTCCAACAGCCTGTTGCAGACGCTACCTTTATCAACCAACAACTATCTGTCTTCGATGGCCCTATACTGAAGATCAGATGGCCGGGCCGGGTCGGGTCGGGTCGGGTCGGAATCAATCGCCAACACGAAACTATGGCTGGGAACAAACAAGACAAAACAAGAAGCAATCGCCAACCAACAAATATGCAGGAGAATGTGGATGGTGATGGATTGGACACTCACTCACTCACTCACTCACTGAGAAGGCCGCTGGGTGACATCGCGTGCACGTCAGGCCAATGCTCGAGTGGAAGTAGGCCGAAAGGGAAGCGGCGGCGAGTGTGTCGTCAGTGCAAGGGTGACATGGAGGAGATGGTGTGAAGAGGAGTTGAAAGAGTATGGACTAACTAACATGGATGGAGGTGAAAAGTACAACAGAAGGAAGACAGAAGCTAGTGGAGACGTGGAGTTGAAGCCCTATTTTCCATTCGGAACCCAAGGGAACAATAATAATAACCTAACCTGAGGTATGAGGTCGTTTCGATGACTAGACAAAGGGATCTGTCGAGCTATTTGCGCCAAGTAAGATTCAGTAAGAAAAACACGAATCATTCGGAAACTAGGATATTTTAAAATCTTTCTTATTATTATTTGATTTAAGCCTAATGTGAACCGTATGCTTTATAACTGTCTTTTAACTGACTGGTTCTTTGACATTCTCTTAGGTCTTGTTTTCTCATTTCTATTTTACTTTATTTCGAACTAGATTCTTTCCTTCACCACCTATTTGACCAATCTCTTCAACTATTCATTAGTTCAGTAGCTAGTAAATTGAAACTGGAAAGCAACCAAAACGCCACCGATAACTCCGGATAAAGTAAGTATATATTTTGAAAGGAGGATATTTCATATATACATAATTTTAAACGTCCTGGATATAAATACTTTCATTGTTGGTATAAAAACTGCAATATTTGTCTGACAACATCAATTGAATCCACTTTTTTTTACAATAAGAGAAGACTTTTCATCATTCTTTCAAGGCTTACCTTGACTATAAGGTCACATTTTGAGCATACACGCGGGATGTAAATTTACAGTGATTTATAACGCATTGGTTATTGTCACAAATAAGATTAATACATAAGTACATTACAAACACCTGAAAACATTAACCAGTCTGTGTGACTGTCGTAAAATAATTGAAAAGCTTTTTGTAACAGTAACGTATTCCGGACGTCTTATGCTTTAAAAGTAACATATGAAATATCCCTTAAATAATAGAAGGAAAACCACCAATACAACACCCACTTCGTTCACTTGAAGCATGTTTATTCATATGATGTGATATGTGAGTGCTGTAACGATATGATTATGTTTTAGGATAGGATACTTGCCACGCTGGAGGTTCGGCCAACGCAGTCAACAAACCCGCAAAAGAAGGAAGGTTGGCAGTGAGATCGGAAATCTTACCCTCCTTAAAAACATCACCGCTACTGAGACTTTAAAAAAGCTTGAGTCCTATGTCGTACTAGGAATATCAGGATGAAAATAAAAACAGTACGATGGTCCTCAATATTTCTATCGTGGAATACTTTTTTCTTTAACTAAACAGATTTCAGAGATTTCATGATTCACCACCAATTCCCTATCAGTATAGCTGCATGCCTAGTCAGAAATGCATAGCAAACCAATAAACAACAGTATGACGATCTATCCCAAGGCCCATCATTTTGTAACACATGTCTGACTATTCATAAAACTCTCCTAGAGTTGTAAAACTTCATCCGTGACAGAGACTGGTGTGCTGCTTTCATATTCACTATGTTGCCAAATCTTTTCACTGACAAAATATTCAGAAAAACAGTTGATAAGCTAACAGTATCTCCCCTTTGCCTTAAAGTATGGAGTGAACCGAAAGCCGTGGTCAATGTACTTCGCAAATACTCTTGAAGATCAATGGCTCTTACTGTTTTCATTGGACAACTCAAGACTATGCTAATATAATGTTAAGTAAGAAATACTAAAAATGATAAAACATTTTATACTTTCGAGAATATTTTCATTTGCCTAGTTTGTAAACAACTACTAAGTTCAGAGCACTGTCGTCACCACTTCATTTTGATCAGCATTTTTTATGTTTCTTAACCGTTACCAGTTAAACAGTTAGTGAAATATTCCATACCGCACTAGTAGACTACATAAATATAAGCAAATACAACTCCCCGGTTCGTCGAAAGGAACCACATCGAAGGTAACTGAGACTCAAAAGACAAGTCACAAAGGCAGTGAAGAGACTGGGTAAGTAAAACCAAATAATACAGAATAACTATAAAGAAAGTGAAATAAAATGGTGAGTAAAATGACAAACTTTTCCTATATGCACCACTAATCAATCACATCAACGACGCCTTCAAATCTCATGGAGAAATTTCAGTAGCTACATTAAACTACTTATAAGTAGCTACATCGCATTATACAATTCTCGCCTAACATTTAATCATGTTATCAGATTTCTTCAAGTTGTCCAAAATGTTATTTAAGAATCACAAATGAAAGCAGATTAGGAACTTACTCCTCTGAAAATCACAACACTGGTTCTTTCACACTTTAAAATGAAAGACTACTCTGATAGACATACTACTTAAAAACCTCAGTAGTGTAAAACCATTTTAAGCTTTTCTGATGACTATTGTAGTTCAATCAGTGATGTATCTCAATAGCTCGAATCCAGTTTTCTTGATCTAACATATGCATAATTTTGTTAAGTACGAAGTTTTATTCTAACACATAAGAAACAAGGGAAAGTTAGAACCATTATTATAAAACAAGATTTTCTTAGGTAGCTTAGGTTTTGAATAACGATATTGGTGTAATAAATTAGTAATCACAGCGCAAGCAAAACTTGAATCACAATAAAATTCAAACCGGAAGTCTACGGTTTTTCATCTGTATGATGTATCCAGTAGGTGATAATGCTCATAATTCTGCCAATGTCTGTAAAGTCCACTATTTAGAAGTCTGTCATTAAAGTAGGTCAAGAAATAATCATAACTTCTAAGTCGAAATAGCCGTAGGAAGAAAAAAAACCGTTAGCTCTGAACAAGTAGGACTTTCATACGGTTCATACGGTCTATTCACTGATAAAAAAAAAATTCACCACGTGATTTCTACTTTGTAACTAAAGGAAGGAAGGAATGCTCAATTTCTTTGTACAAATGCTACTTCTCACTCTTAAAAACAATACAAAGATAAAGAATCAATGGAGGATTATCCAACTTTTTATTAAATAATATCCTTTTATTCTTGATTAAATTATGTTCTAGGCGAAAGATCTTTACTATATAGAATAAGTAAAAATCTTAATATATCTACCAATACAGTTAATAGCATCACGTCATAAACCAAATTATATTTGTTAGGCGAGAAATTTCACTCTGAAATGTAGCTACCTTGTTCACCAAATAACGGTTAACTCTTCTACTATATATTCATTAATGGTTATGGGGTTTAATCGAAACCTGAAGTAGTAACTCCCACAGTTCAATATTCGCCTGTAAGGGTTGTCACGTCTACGAGTTGGTTATCTCGTGATTTTTACAATAAATTAAGTTTCATGTAATAGGTTGTAGAATAAACTTTCATTGGTTAGTAGTCAGACAACACGAAGACTTTCATTGTCATACTTTTTACATTGTACTTCATGATTCGTACTAGAGGGAAAACGTGAGGATGGATTTCCCACCGATGACAACGGTTGATGGTCGCGTTAAATCACGAATTGGTAGAAGATAGAATTCATGGACTGACCGTTGATTCAATAGGGTCCCAGTGGTTGATTGGTATATGAGCTTGCCTTGTAACCGGAAGGTCCTGGGTTCAAACCCCGGCGGTGGGTGCGTACTTCCGATGACTCCCAAACTAGGATGACGAAACAGATGTCCAGTACTCCAGTGCTGGTTTTCAATGGTTCTCTAACTGATATCAATCCGTGGTCAAACTCGTAAAAATAAATTTAATCCTTGCAAACCAACTCTTGAAAATTTTATTCAACAGGAATTATTCATTCTATTCTTCAGAACAGTTCTTCATCAGCATACGTCAGTATGAGATGAAGTATGGGTGTCTATAAATTTAAAAGTTTGGTGAATATACATTTCAGATTACTTCAAGTAGAAAAGTTATTTAATCATTTTGAGACACACAACCTCATCCTATAAATACACATATAAAAATTCGACCAGGGATATTTTATTACAAGACGCGATGACATCATCACAATTGACTTCATAAAGAAGTGAGACATATTTCCAACAACCAGGAATGCTTTCTTATCAGTTCTCCTCCTCACAACCAATTGTAAATAAGGGGAGAGATTTCAATTTCTTCACCCCTTGACCTTGTATTCTCTTGTCTCCAGTGCGGGTAATTCTTCTTTGCTATCATCTGATTCGTCAACCACTTTTCTCAGTTGGTGATGGAGTAAATAACTTTCCTACTAGGTAGGCTTTAGTTTGCACGATATTCATGCATTCATTGATCAGAGTCTTATTTCAATACCAGCCCAGTAAAAAAAAATATCTCTTCGCTGTTTCTCAGTTCTAAATATCGTAAAGCAACAACATTTTCCCCGTCAAAGTTCTACTTGAAATTATCTACATGCATTAAGATCACAGGTTAAGTGTCGTATCTTCTTAGTGTTAGTTGATGTTTGTGGATCACTTGAGCGATTTGACGACCTGAGAGGTTTATTTAATCATTTTGTCGACAAACTTTACGGTTGATTTTCTCCCATCTTCCTTTGACGATGAGTCTTTCGGCTTTCAAAACTGGCTTTGTATGTATTTCATCGGTTTATTTTCTGCTCCAACTCCATTTGAAAGGAGTAGTAGGTTAACGGCTTATGAGACGTTATTGATGAAAGATAAAGTGACTCTCCTATCAACACGTGGCATATGTTTTCTATACTACTTTAATAGTCGTTTCTTGATGAAGTTACGGGATAATTGTTTGCTTCGAACACCTTGTTCGACTGGTTTACCTGTGATTTTCGTAGAGGATGAATGCTTTAATAGGTCTTGTCTCTTGAAAATAATATCTTCTCATGAGTTATCAGACGATAGTTCTATTAGTTGGAAACTTGATCAATGTGAATATCTCGTCTGCGCACTTTTCTTTGCAGTGTCCGATGGTTGATTCTGCTGATTAACACATCTAGGAAGGGGTTTTCATCGTTCACTTCTTCTCCCTCTTCTTCTGTAACGTGAGTCCCTCCAAATGTTCCGTCAGTGGGTTTGAATGTGTCTTGTATTTCATCTGCTTTAAAAACAACAGAAGCATCGTCGACATATCTTGACCAAATTAAAGTATGACCACCGGAATAATAATTGATCTCAGCTTTTGGGTCACTACTTTGGTAGTCAGTTCTAATATTTTTATTTTATTTTTTATTTTTGATTACAGCTTGATTTCACACCGTACTTTTGGTACAAGTGTGGAATTTCAGCGTGGATATCGGTAGCCCAAAATTTGCAGGCCGACCATAGATATCAAGTGTGCGTCGGTGTGGGCTCGAACCCTGGACCATGTGCATGGTCGGCGAGAGTCCTAACCACTGTGCCACCGACGCACATGCATTTCTCTTTTATATGTTGGTATTTCTTGTCATTCTTCTAAAGAAGGCAATCCTTATAACAATCATAATTAGGCAACACCTGTTAATAGTGTATAAATGCTGTTAAAATTTTCTCATATTGACTATCGTTAATATGAGATGCGTCGCACATTTTTCTGAATGAGATTTACTGAATATGTTTAGTATACAAAAGTCAGTACACTCAAAATTCACTTAAACTGACTTTATTTGTAAATTTAACT